TCACCTTTGATGAAACACCATCAAGAGTAGTCTGAATGGAATCTGTTTTTTCCAAGAATGTTGTGTGTGTGTGTGTGTGTGTGTGTGTGTGTGTGTGTGTGTGTGTGGCACTTAGAGCTGTATACAGTAGAATATCAGAGAGACAGACACACACGGACCCAAAGCAGATGCAACCATTATTGTGTCTCCGTGTGGTATAATTAGAAAACAACTTGAGAGGGGACTTCCCAGGGAAGAGCAACATGAATGGGCGGCACCAACTGCTACTCCAGCCCGTTGTTGCCCACCTGCAAATGCACCTTGCTTGCCTGAATCAGTGGGTGTCCCTGTATCTTCAGTGTACCCTCACCATCTACCCGAGAGCACCAGCTGAGCAGGGGAAGACAGCCCTCTGCAAACATCAAACAAGCGTCCCAAGACACAGTGGGTGGGAGAAGATCGCCAGTGGTTGCGGTGGGTGAATAACTGGCGCACCTCGGCTTATATTCAAGGACACATTGGCCGATGTACTTAGGAGCAGAAAAACAAAATTGACTGTGAATGTGTTCTTCTGCTGGCAGTGCATTGTATGAAAAAAATAGCGTGCCTATTCTATCTGCTGGCTACAGAAGGCTCTTAAGAGAACCCCCTGTCGTTTCCCTGAGGTTGTTAGAATCACAGGTCATAGACTAGAAGGGATCCTGCCGTGCTCAGCAAATTGAATGCAATTTTAGTCATTTGAAAGCTTAAGTGGCTCTGTTTTGCTCTGCTGATGCACCAACAGTGATCACAAGCAAAATGGAACTGTACATGAAAAAGCTACCAAAAGTGGCGGGGGGGAGCGGACCAACCCTTATCATAATCTATGAGATGCACATCAAACAAATACAGAGCAGCAACTCAGATCACAAGGGAAATCCAACTGCAACTTTGTCCACTTTCCCGTGTGAGTGTTGCCATTGCCGACTGCCTAATGGCTTTCGATTCCCTCTGCCCCTGCTACACAAGAGCTCATTTGCATTCATTTACATACTAACTTGGGTTTGTTTGTTTGTTCTCATCAGAGTAATTGGACGAGGATGGCCTCGCGTGTTGCAGCTGATGAGAAGAGACTGCCTTGGTTACACCACCGTCCATTTTTTCAGATGAGCGCTGCGTACCCCCTTGCAGCCTGGACTTATCCATAATGCATGGGCAGCCCTATGCAAGCCGCTCCTTTGGTTTCCCTTTCCTATTTTACAAATTATGATTTTATGATACAGGCTGTTCCTCAAGGCTACGCTTCTTCATTCCATGCCGTGCGCCATTTTCAATGTCCCTTTCTTCCTGCTAATTATTTACAGGGTCTTTCTCTCCGTTCTGCTTTGGGGATCCGCAGCTAGATTGCAATATTGTTGGGTTATTATGGCTTAATCGAAAACAAGTTGCCATCCTTTTCTCTCTGTTTTAAATGCTATTTGCAAGCCGGTTTAACCATCCATTGCTAGAAGGTTTTCTTCTTCTTCTTTTCTTTTGAACCCCTTTAGGCTTAAGAACATTTGTTACAACTTGCATAGAAAAGTCAAATATGTGCAGAACCATTTGTGCTAACTGCCTGGAGCAAATGAAATGAGATGCCAGCAACAATCTTTTAAGCAGTCCTAAGCAAGGAAGGAAAAAGGAAATGCAGCTTTCATCAGCTTTTGAAATTTCGAAAAGATCAGCAAACCCAGTGAATCATCCAGCTTGCCATCCTCTCCTTAGGATCAGTCATAGCAGGCAATCACCTCCCACATTCACCTCTGAGATGATGGAAAAATCTGCATCAAATCACTACAAAAGGCCATCCTTAGGCACAACAAACTGCACTTCTAAAGAACTAGCTATTTGTTTCTGAATGTGCTTTTTATCAAAGAAAAGCAGAGGGTATGAATTGATTATTGTGAATTGTTTTAATAATGTTACTGTTGAAAATCTGTGTGCGCTGGGCTGATCTTATGGCAGAGAACAGAGAAAAGGGGTGGAAGACTGGGGGCACCTAAAAGGCAAGACTTCTTCCCGTAGTGCATGGTTGAATGATGGAATCCCCCTCCACGAAATACAATGATAGCTATCAGTCTGGATGGCCTTCAAAAGGGATGACCTTCAAAGGAGATCCCCCTCAATTCATGAAGGAGGCGGCTACCCACAGGTGCTGGTCCCAATAGCCGTATGGCGCTTCCTGTTTCAGGATGCTGCTGCAAACCACTTGCTGATGAAAATGGGTGCTGTTGCATTTATAATCTGCTTATGGTTTTCATCAGGGTAGAGGATTGGCCTCTGTGTGAAGAGAGTGCTGGCCCAGACCCATCAGGGCCCTTCAAATATTCTTGCAACATTAGCTCTGTTTGAAGCTGTCCTCTCTGTAAGGATCCTGCAGAACCTCAGCAGAAATGAAGCAGAAACTCCAGTCCTCACCAATAAGGTCGACATCCACCTGAGTGACATATGCATGGCCGTGACACCATACCCTGTCCACATCCCGTTTTCCCCAGGTTTGTACAGATTTTTCCCTGTTCTAAAAATGTGGAATACCTTTCATGATTCTGGTAGTAAGAGCTAATAATAAGATATTAACTTTTCATATTGAGAGGAAGGGAGGGAGGGGAGTCCTGCCCCTTTTGCTTTCAGCTACAACTGGAACATTCCATGCCCCCAAATAAATTATTGGAAATTTGATTTGTCACAATGTTTTTATGTATTTTTTAGGATTTAGGTAGAACCTCTTGGCGAGGGCATATGACTTCGGATTGCAACCTCACAGAATGGTGCATAACTTAAAAGCAATGCAAAATTATATACAGCAAATACAGTGGCAAAAAATCCATCCATCCATCCATCTTCAATAAAACTGTTAGAGGGAACAGATAGCACCAATAAAACACGTGGCCCGTAGACCATGGAAGCGTCAGCAAAGACAAACGACTATCTGTGGCCAGACAAATGACTGTTTGGAGCTTTTCTGTAGGCCTGCAAAGATGGGAACTGGCAGAGCTCTGGCCAATAAACCAGAGAAACCAGTGCTTCGGGCGGCGGACTGGTCCTTCCTACTTCGGCTAGTGAAGAATAAGTCTTGCTGTTTGGGAAGGGGACAAGAAGACCTGGCACTTCTGTGCTCCAGAGTTTTTTGGGAACCCGGCTTTTGCTTTGATCCCTCCCTTCTGCATTCTTGACACCACTCCTGACTGGTGTTTGCTGGCACCCGTGATAGCTGCTTATGCCGGAAGCCAGACAAACAACCACTTTGGTGTACATTCGGGATCTGTGAGCCTTTTGTCTCCTTTTTCAAATCATGCAAACATGTCCCTTCACAATGCTGACTGGCTCATGTGGGGGACTGAAGGAGGTAGCTCGTTCTCTCTCTCGCCCCCACCCCAACTATACATGGGTGCCTACACTAAGTTTGCATTAAGGGACTTTCATGTCTTTTGCTTGGCTACAGCACGTGTATCTCTCTTTCATTCCAAGGGCCCAAGGCAGCGACAACTTTCTATGCACAATCCATTTTAATTTTGTTTTTCATCATATCACTGTCACCTTGACAAACACAAGCCTTCCTTACTTTGTAGGATGGCCTTCAGCATTTTGCTTTTCACTTAAAGCGAAACTTGAATATCACGCCAACCCAGGAACAAAGCTATAATGGTTATTTCCTAGGACAAGTGGTATGAAATATAGGGAGAAGTGGAATCTTTAAATGCACAATGACCAATTATCTTGAATGATAGCTCGCTACTTTGCATTTTAGTAATTTATAGCAATGTGGTTAAAAATATACATAAACAAGAGCCAAGACCTTGTCTGCTAGGGAGGATGACAGCAAAAGTATAGTCCCAATGAATTCTGGTTGAAACTTCTGGGAGAACTTAGATGCTCTAATTGGGCTCCATTCTCTGGTTGTGTGTGTGTGTGTGTGTGTGTGTGTGTGTGTGTGTTAACCACACTACATTTATGGTCTACCTTTCTTCCTCTTGCAGGAACCCAAGGTGACTCACAAGGGTCTCCTCCTCTCCATTCTGTCCTCCCTACAACAACCACCTGTGAGGTAGGCTGGACTGTGGGTCTGTGACTGGCCCAAAGCCAGCCATCTTGGCTCCATGACTGAGTGGGGGCCAGAACCGTAGTCTCTTCAGTCCCTGGTCCAACATTCTAGCCACAACACCACACTTGTTCTCAGTACTCATCTCCTTCTTTTCACCACCTCTATTGCCATCATCACTACTGAAAATTCACTCACCTTTCCTTGTGGAATCTTTGTTTCCACCTTCCAGAAGGGAGAACAAGTGGAAACAAGGGTTATCTGTCTACCACAACAGATGTCAGTGCCAACCACTCCCTGCATCTTGGGGGTACAGTTGAAAGACCTTGAATCCAGATGGTCTTATATAATACAACACATCATCATCATCATCATCATCATCATCATCATCATCATCAGCAGGCTTATGCAAATAGGATGGCATACAAAAATTCCAATTAAAAATAAATAAATCATCATCTTGGAGTGACCATGCTATCAGCAGAGGAGTGTATCATCCCTCCATCGCAAAGAATGGCACTAAGCTTTGGACAATATATTACTTCACCAGAAACACATGAAGTTCAGGAAAAGACAGAGAAGAAATGCTCAATTCATGCTTAGTTTACTTTAAATTGTAGCTGTTTTTAATGTTTTACAGAGCACTTAGAGCCTATGAGAATGGGCAGTATATGAAAACCAAAATGAAGGAGTGACCAATTAAATCTTTACATTGCTCTTCTCATTGGTGGCACTAAGTTAGCTAGCATTAGCCCAAACACTTCCCAATGTCACCTTTTTCTTTTGCTCATCTTAAATCACGTGGCCTCCTTACTGTCATCCCTGATATTTATTATAAGAGAAGGGGTGCCACTACTGTGTCCATCAACATGGACCAACACACCTGGTTCTCCAGCAGATAAGCCTATAGGAACCAGCAGGACAACTGCCACAACTTGTCGTAACTGATCTGAAGTGAGCTTACCTGTGGGAGACCCTTCCATGACATGCCCAATGTATGGTCCTTCCCTGAAGAGAGGCCTGTTGTCATTCTGGTCAATGATGATGACTTCCAGAGGGACTGGTCCTTCTATGGTTTTGCCACTGGCATCCGTGATCTCAACCTGGAGCTGCAAAAGTCAAGGAAAAGAAAGCAACATGAGTTGGGCTGTTGGGACCCCAAGTGAGGCGGAGGGCAAGGAAGAGCTCACATGAGCAGCTTTGCTATGAGAAGCCTCCAGCGTGATGAACACACGGAGATGCCTGAGCACCTTGCTGAAGGCACAATGGCTAGAAGCATCAGCAATCAGTACAAAAAGAAATCAGGCTTCGTTCCCCACTGGCCACTTTGCAGTGGAACTGCCAAATTTGCTGGAGGATGCAATGAGGGAGGAAAAGGAAAAGGAAACGCCATTGCATGCTAATGAAGTGAGCATTTGCTTAGAGTACATATCTCTACCCCCACCAACATCTTCTCTCCTTCAAGCATTATTACACTTAAGGGGGACATATCAAAGAACAAAATTTATCGGAAGATCGGCTATACCCGAACATCGAGATGTACAAAGAAATATAAGCATGCATGCCCACACCAATTCCTGATAATTATGTAAAAATATCTCCTATTAGACTTCCGTGTAGGCTCAGCTTATAAATACCCATGTGAAGCAAACAAGGTAAGCTTCAGAGGACTGGATGTTCTGCCACATCTGAACTGGGATCAAGAGAAGGCCTTTGCTGCTTAGTGTTATGCCCAAACCCACCTGCCCATCTGCAACCTCTTTGTTTCCATATGAAAGAGGCACTTATTGAGAAGCTGAGAATTTCAGAAAATGCATCAGGTCAGCTTGCACTTGCTGGGAGTTGTAGGCTCTTTCCTCTGTCTAAACTTGCCCAGGACTGTATCTGAACTAAGTATTACTTCCCAAACTAGTACACACACTGAAAGACAACTATCTTCGAGTTTTGCACCTTCTGATTTTTGAAACCAACTGTTTTAAAAGAATGCATATGCAAATGACTAGAAAAGAAACATGCATAGAACTAATTGCATTCAAAACAGGTATTTCAACTGTTGCATCTTTGAAATGTATGCTTTCTTCCCAACTGATTAAACTGAATATATTTACAGTTTTCAAAATGGGGTGTGTGTGTGAGACAGAGACAGACAGTCCAGGAGGTATCAACTTAGTAAATGGTGATAAAAATGAATAAAAATATTTTGTTTTTTGGTAACCTTGCTTAGAAAAACCTTATATTATTGTACTTCCTATTCAGATGTAGTGATGCTGAGAAATTCATTGGGTTCACATTTTAAAAGGGATGGAAAACAAGCATTTCGTGCATTTATCTATGCTCTCTAAACATCAGGTTGAAGTTAGACTAACCTGATTTCTGGCCTGTACTCTTTCTGTCTCTCTTCATTTCCTTCCATTCAAATAAGAAAAGTGTGCAGTTTGAACAGGACAAAAACATTAAAAAGAGGGCACCAAAATATGCACTTTCCTCCATAGCATAAAGCATGAGTATGTGTGAATTAGACATTGCAACCATTTTCAAAAGGCATGGTTTCCTGCTCCCATTCGAGGTTATGAAAGCAATATGTTCCAGAGCTTTGTGAAAACAAACAAACCACACATGCCTACATTTTAATCCAAGATTACCCAATTTTCACCTCCAGAAAACAAATGCAGAGCTGAACTGCATTTGGCATCAGAAATTCATACTTTTCTGAATGTTTGCTGGGGAAGGAAGAGGAAGCATTTGAGAAACGGTGCACACAAGATATAAGCATCCATGAGGAAAGCACAAGACAATGTGCATATTTTCAAAGAGCACACAAAATACTTTTGGATTTTGGTGTGAATGTGTGTGTCTGCATGGTGTTGTTGCTATGTTCCATTGAGTTCATCTGTGTTCTATGTTCCATGGAGTCCAATCATCAGACCTCACCTGGAATACTGTGTCCAGTTCTGGGCACCCAGATGTAAGAAAGAGGCAGATAAATTAGAAAGGGTCCAGCAGAGGGCAACAAAAATGATCCAGAGTTTGGAAACCCTGCCCTGGGAGGAGAGACTAAGAAAACTGGGCATGTTCAGCCTAGTGAAGAAAAGACTGAGGGAGGACGTGATAACCCTCTAGAAGTACCTCAAAGGCTGTTACAAAGAGGAAGGTCAAGATCTCTTCCTGCTGATGCCAGAGTGTAGAACACGGAATAACCAATTCAAGTTGTGGCACCCCAGATTCAGGCTGGACACCAGGAAAAGCTTCCTCACTGTCAGAGCAATACAACAGTGGAACCAGCTACCCAGAGAGGTGGTGGGCTCTCCCACCTTGAAGGCATTCAAAAAGAAACAGGGCAGCCATCTGAGTGGGATGGGGTAACGTGGTGTCCTGCAACAGCAGGGGGTTGGACCCAATGGCCTTAATGGCCCCTTCCCACTCTGCTATTCTAGGATTCTGCGACTTACAAGGGATGGGAAATTGTGACTACAACAAAATGATTCCAACAGTGTGAGGCAGAACGAAGAAATGTTCGAGTCTGACAGCCTCCTCCTTTCCTACTCAAAGTGCACCTGGCCCATGTCAACTTCCTTTCATTGTTGCAGCAATTTCTTCCTTCCCCTTCCCTCAACAGGTGCTATGGTGGGCCCCTGCAAACATTACACTTTCTCTCATGCTGTAACCTGTGGAAAGTTAATTAGGTTTTGTACAGTTAAAAGAGACTGTTTCTCTTATGCTGTTGGTGTGAGGACAAGTGTTGCTGCTCAGGCAAAAGGTGGCTCAGAAATAAATCAAAAGGAACTGATAGATTGCAGACGTGCAGGTTTGCTGGAGCACTGTGTTATTTTCGTAAATCAGCCTGGTCCATTCTAGCCAGAACTGACTGAAAAGCCAAGAGAACGGTGTCAGTGTGTGAGTGTAGAGAGAAGCGGGATTCTACTTTGCAGCTAAAAATTTAAACTCCTCCACATAATTGCACTGTATATAAACAAGAACAACCTGAAGTTGCCTTCTTCTGCACGCTTTGGCAGACAAGAGTACTACAACTCTCATTATGCCAAGCCAGCCATGTTAGCTGGGGAATGCTGGGAGTTTATGACTTCTTTTCTTTCCCTAAACATGCATAGGATTGCACCTTGAAGGAGCTTGATGGGAATAAACAGAATTCAACATAACCCAAACCTAGAATTAAATTCTATGATCCATGCATCTACTTGAATCCAAGAGTGCCAAATCTCAGCCCTATAGATTAAATTCCTCCAGTGCAGTTCCAGTGCAGCCCTTTGGGGTTCCCCATGTGGTTATGCCCACTTTTTCTGGCCCAACATTCTTTTCTTGACTGCTGGTCCCTCAGTCTCCCAGTAATGTGTGCATCCTTTCCTTCTAGAAGATCAGCTTGCTTTTCCAAAGGAGATGCTTGTTCATTTGTTCTCGTCATACTAACATCCTGCTTAATAAATTAAAAATCCCTGAGCAGTTTATATATAGACTTCCTTCCAAACAATCACATTTGGAATGCTGTACTACAGCTGCTATTGCAGGAAATATGGGGAAGAGCAAACAAAACACCTTTGTACAAAGCCAAGTTAGAAGAGATGAAGTTCGACATCCGAGTGCTTTGAATTAACTTGTAGATACACAAACTGCACTACCGGTTAGAGATTCGCTTTCAGGAGGATGCTTATATACGATGAAAATGAACCATGGCTGGGTAAAAAGATCCTCTGGTAACATATTGGATCAGATTATCTTTCAAAACACAAACATTGAGCTCTGTAACTTTGCATGGCTGAGCACCCACATAGGCCTACAGGATCACAGTGGAACGAGATAATAAGCCATCCATCTTAACAAAGGAATTAGAATTCTGACCTAATTCTCTCCCAGTAGGGCTCACTGCAAACCTATAAATAACTCATAAATATCAGACACACGGAGAAGAAATGCATTAACTGAATAAACAAATGAGTTGGAGCACTTTTAGGCCCCCCATGGCTTATTTAATCTCCGGGGAATAGCACAGGGCAGGAGGGAGAGAAACGGCAAATGCTGACTTTATTCCCCTGGGTTACTATTACAGGTAAGTTAGATGAAGCTGGTCCTTCCTTGAGGAGCACATTGGTCTCTGGCCCTTTTGAAATGGTTTTGCTTGTGATCTTGGAATTCAGCTCTTGCGTTAAGGTAGCATTTTTTAAATAGTACATCTCTGTGGACAGGAAAGTTACAGGGGGTCATCTGTGAGTGAAGCAGAAACTGTGAAAATTTCTCAGAGGGCATCTGCTTAACATTTATCAATCTTCTTTCATGCAACCAGAGAGCACTGGGTGTGTTCTGAGCTGTCCACCTAGCACTGTGCTCCGCAGCTGGGGAAGTTCGACTTGAGATATGGGGGACGGGGGCTAAATTGTTGAAGCACATGCAGTGGTCATTCTCAGGCACTCTTCTCCACCATGTCTCTCACCCCAAAGATGCATAAAGTAGACAAACAGATGCAGTGCAGGAGATTGTAGTGAGCAGGCAAATTTGTAGAGGGTAAAACAATCAATGGCTAGTAGCCACGGCATGTGATCTAGCATGAGGATCCAATGCTCTTAAAATATTGGTCTCTGCTTCTGCCCTTGCTCCGATTTGGCTTCATAATGGAAGTCATGGGATTGCCATTAAGCCAGCTCTAAGCGATCCTTCTTGTCCCCACTCTCATGACTTCTGGGAGGACATGCTGGAAAACATGCCTGGTAGGAAGCCTCTAGACTGTCCCTTCTCCTCACCATGGCCCCGCCACTGTTCTCCTGCCTCTCACTCTGTCCAAGACAATGAAGGTTATCAGGGAGAGAAGGAATGTATCCCACTGTCTACTTGCTTACTTTTCTCTGCATGGCAGGAAAACAAGACATAGCAATGAAGAGGAAGATGGAAGAGGAAGATGAGGAGGGGAAAATAGATCTGTTGAGGGAAGAGCTCCCTGGAGCACATTTTTCCCAAGGGTCATCAAAATCCCATAGCTGTAGTGTCTCTGGCCCTTGTTGATGTACTGGAACTCAACTCCTACCTCACAGGGTGGTTGTTGTGGGGATAAGATGGAGGAGGAGAATGATGTAAGCTGCCTTGAGCCCTTTGTAGGAAAAAG